AGCCAATGCAGTTGACCAAAGAAAACCCAATCGATCAAATTTTAGCAAAACCAACTAATGAAACCCAGTGTTATCATTGTCACAATAGTGGTCATTCAATTTATACCTGCACATTTTTCGCTGCCTTACCAATTACTAAACGGTTCGAATTTATAAAAAAAGAGGGAAGTTGCATTAATTGCTTAAAAAAGGGGCATTCAGTTCGAAGTTGCACTCGTTCGCATTGTAGAGTCTGTCAACGCCCTCATCACACTCTTTTTCATAAATATGAGGTGCACTCACAGCAAGGCAACTCAAATTCAACCAACACATTGTTGTCGTCGCAGTCATCCCCTTCATCAGCTCACGCAACTCATCAGTCTTCTCACCACGTTTCAAGTGTTAACGACGTTGTTGTCTTGGCCACGGCTCTGATCAAAATTAAAGTTCGTCATGGAAAAGATCATTTCGTGAGAGCTCTCCTTGATTCAGGCTCACAGTTAAATTTCATGAATGAGGAATGTGCGAGTAATTTGCAACTGAAGGGAGAGTTTAAAAATCTTAACTTGTCTGGTATCGGAGAACTTAACACAAGTCTGAGACATAAAGTAAATGCCACGATAAAATCAAGAATTAATGAGTATCAATTTCAAACAGATTTTTGGGTGATTAAATCAATTTCTACATACAAGCCTGCAGTTAATTTCCAAAATTAATACGTGCATGGAGCTGATATATTTTTCGAATTTCTATCCGTAGGTCAAATAAAAGGTTGGATAGTTTCAGGTCGTTATAAATACAACAATAGTGTGGAAAGCGGACAATGCAACCTGGTTAACCAAAATAATGAAGAGTCATTAGTCTCACTAGACGCAGTTGTGAGAAAATTTTGGGAAATCGAGGAAACCCCTGGCATTTCAAAAACAAGTTGCAAGGAACATATCGACTGTGAAAATCATTTTGTTGAACATACAAGGCTCTTGCCAACTGGTCGTTTCGAAGTTCGCCTCCCATTTAAGAGGGATGCTTCAGAACTGGGCTCGTCCTACGAAATAGCAAAGCGAAGATTCCTATCTCTTGACCGCTGGCTTGTAAGGACACCGGAAGTTCAAAAAATGTATAACGAGTTCATGTTGGAGTATTTGTCGTTAGGCCACATGTTAAAATTTGAAAATACAATCCCAACTAGTCCACATTATTTCATACCCCATCAAGTCGTGGTAAAGTTAGATAGTTTGACTCCAAAGTTGAGTAGTCTTCGATGCCTCCTCAAAGACATCTCCTCATAACTCCCTTAATGAAACGCTGATGGTCGGCCCGACTATACAACCTGAGCTTTACATGACGCTATTAAAATTTCGCTGTCATAAATTTGTGATTACCGAAGAGGATCGAAAATTTTAGCTTGTTTTGTGGCGGGAAATGCCGAATATGCCAATACAAATTTACAAACTCAATACGGTGACTTATGGTACATCGCCAGCGACATTTTTGGCTATTCGATGCCTTAACGAACTTGGTAATATATACCGAGATATTATGCCTCTTGGTTCGAGGGTTACCCAAGAAGACTTTTACGTTGATGGCTTGCTATCAGGCGGCGAAACATTAAAAGAGCTGAAGCAAATTCAATATGAAGTGACAAAAATTCTTCAGTCAGCTGGCTTTGAACTTGCTAAGTGGTATTCGAAACACAATATTTAAAGACAATGGTGACGCAGAAAAAACAATCTCATTGAACGACACCGAAACCACGAAAACTCTGGGAATAATTTGGCATCCGAAAAGTGATGAACTTTCTTTTAAACCAAATAAAACCTTTTCTGATTTACAGGCAACTAAGCGGAATATTTTGTCAATCTCATCACGACTGTTCGACCCGCTGGGACTTCTAAGTCCCATAATAACAAAAGCAAAAATGATCTTGCAAGAACTATGGTTGCAGAAAGTGGACTGGGACGAATCAACTCCGATGTCATTGGCAAAGAGTTGGGAAGACTTTAAAGAAAACTTAAATAAAATTGAAGAGATACATATACCCCGTTATATCAACATGTCGTCGTCGACAAAAATTCAAGTGCATGGTTTCGCAGATGCATCCATGCGTGCTTATGGTTGTTGTATCTACGTTCGGAGTAAATGTAGAAATAACCATGAATCATTGCTAGTTACCGCTATGTCAAAGGTCGCCCCGCTAAAAACCAAAACCCTACCTAGGCTTGAATTGTGTGCCACTCACCTGCTAGCAAAACTGTGGAAAAGTATAGCCCCAATATTGCTGCCGAATACCGAAAAAGTTTTCTTTTGGACTGACTCGGAAATCGTCCTTTACTGGCTCAAAAAGCACCCGTTAACACTATCTATTTTTGTTGGGAATAGAGTGGCGGACATCCAAGAATGGACGGAGAATGTAATATGGAAACATGTTCCAACCGATCAAAATCCGGCTGAAATAGTGTCTAGAAGTTGCAGTGTTGAGGAGTTGCGCCAGTCGATGTGGTTCAATGGCCCGAAGTTCCTTGCACTGACTGGAGAAGATTGGCCAAAGAATCTATATTTCGAGCCACCAGAAGATGTAAAAGTTCTCGAAACTCGAAAAAGCCCAGACAGTGTTACATGGCGTATTCAAGCAGCCAAGTATAGTCCACAAAATTATAGAAAATTGCTCTGCATACTTAAAGATTTTACGAATACTTGCCTATGTATTACTTATACTTAATGATCTGAGAGACGGACGTGTTTTTGAGCGCTCCACAAAAATTTGCTTTTTTTCGGTGCAATTGCAGTGTTAATACAAGCTTTTTTGTCGTCACTTCACTTAACACGCGTATAAGCTTTTTTTGGTGGTTTTTTGTACCTGCGTTTTAGTATTTTCGTATTGTCACCTGCTTCTTATGGATTCTGCCGGTAAGCGTAAAGCCATTTTTGCAGCTAGTAAAGAATCTCCAGCACATAAAAATCTACGACTGGAGAATAACGGCGGTCTCTCTGAAGCTGTACTTAAGGCGCTGAAATCCACAGAAGAGAAGCTTCAGTCAATGGAAGAGAGGATACAAGAGCGTATTGGAGCGGTTTATACACAGCTGACAGAAGGTATTGCTGCTTTTGAGCGTAAGTTCATAGCTAAGCTGCAAGAGAGTTTTGAGGCGGTAGCAGCGCGTATCGAAAAAGTCGAAAGTAGGTGCAGCAGTCTGGAGCAAGATATGACCTGTGCTCTTAGTCTATCTGCTGAGATAAATTCTTTGAAAGAGGAATTGGAAGATCTAAAAAAAGAGAAGGCAACTGCTCTTTCTACCTCTGATGCTGTTGTGTTTGGCTTGCCGTTCGTGAAAGAGGAGAACCTGAGACAGATTTTTGATAGTGTGTGTAAGTCCATTAACTTTGCGACTCTGTTTGTTTGCGATATTTTTCGCACGAAGCATACAGATGAGCGGCCTAATAGTGCGGTGATTGTCAAATTTCCCTCACTATCCGATCGTACACGCACTTTATCTGCGTTCGATCAGTATAGGAAAAAGCACAAATCTTCTGTACCTCTTAAACTAGCAGGCATTGATAGCCACGGCACTTTCAACATTTATGAGAGCTTACCTGCTGCGACCAGAAAGACTTCAAGCTGCGATGAAATTGAGAAAATGTAATAAGCTGCATAGTGCATTTTCTTGGAGAGGTGAAATTTTTATACGTACGTCTGCTGGAAGTGAACCTGTTGCTGTATCTGATAGCAGCGAGCTTTTTAACATCATTAGTAGCATTTAATATTAGCATACTATTTAACATTTATTTTGTGTATTATCTTTTGTCTTCCTCATATATTTAAGTTTGTTTATAACCATTTTCTGTTAATATTACTCCACAATATGTTGGAGAACAGTCCGTCACATAATGTTAATTTCATCCAAACAGTCCTGGTAAATGTGCTCTGTAAGCGTGCTGGTGGCTTTAGTGTAGTTCATTTCAACGCTCGCAGCTTGAATAGTGACAAACTGGATAGCATTAGAAGTATATTTGAAGATTCGTGTGTTGACGTTGTTTGTGTGTCAGAGACTTGGTTCAGTGCGGATATTCCGAATTATTGCTACTCAATCCCAAACTATAATTTGTTTCGCAATGACCGTTTGGGTAGAAGAGGTGGTGGAGTGGCTGTGTATTGTAGAAACAATCTAATTGTTAATATTATAAGTTCTTCTACGTCTGAGATTGAGTTTATGACTGCCGTGATTTCAGATGCGAGCACAAAAGTGTTGGTGTCTTGTGTGTACAATCCTAGCAAGAACATTTCATTGCAGCCTTTTTTCGATGACCTTACTCCTCGTCTTCTTGACTATGACCACTATATTATACAGGGTGTCCCAGAAGTAACGTGCCAAACTTTAGGGGATGGTAGGTGGGGGGGTAAGCTCCCTGATAAACAAAAAATTTTCAGGTAAAAGTGTCACCGTTTTTGAAATATTTACATTTTTTCGAATTTAAAAAAAATCGTGCCTTTTCATGTGTTTTCTTTAACTCCAACTACAAACCCGGCAATACTTAGTAAATTTTTTATGTAAAATACTTCCAGATAGTTGCCTCTCCATACTCAAATGCAATGTAGTTAAAATATGTTAAGGAACCATCATAAAATTAGGACTATTTCTGGATTTTTAACTTTTTGATATTTTCACCCCAACTTTGACTATCTCGGGTCAAAAAAAAATGTACTGAGCTATAACTTTACATTACATCAAAAATTGCTCATTTAATACAGATTTCAGAAAGGTGCCACACTTACTGTTTTGAAGGGAAAAAAAATTTATAGCCGCTTTTGTGGGTAAAGGACTGAGACACGCTAGAATGTATTTAATAGATTTAAATTGAATTTGCTCTTGTTACCGTCAAATGACATGCTAAATAGTACAAAGGTACAT